AAATTAAGCCAAATTCTGATTCTTAGTAACAAAAAAACTAACTAAAATCAAAGTCGTCAATCCGCCATGTTTGGACGCCATTTTGGGGCAGTTCGTTCACTTTTTTTTGTGGGAACATTGGCTTTTTTTTAATAAATTGTCACAAGGAACACAACGATATGCAATTTATAGGGATGTGGGGGGGGGGGGTGCACGGTAAGGGGGTCTGGCCCACCGTGTATAACACTGGCTCCGATAATACTGTATACATATACATGTGCAAATTTAATAAAATCTGGTGCATTAGTTAATATTTAATTGTATAGATATAAAAATTAAAGTTTATATATATATATATATATATATATATATATATATATATACATATATATATCTGACGTTATATACATCAGTACTTAAACAAATAAAAATACCCACAATGAAATATAAATAAATATAGCAACCTTCTTTATCACAGGCACTCCAGTAAGAATAATAAAAAAAAATTGGCACATAATTTTTTATAATAATTTAATAAATAATTAAAATATGCAATTGTAAATGGAAATGGTTAGTGACAAAAACACATAAATATAATACATCAGATGGTTAGGAAAAATATATCATAATTAATTGTTTTAAACAATATGTTTTACCATCTGTAATTTTTACTTCCATTCTCTATGTCTGAAAATACCTATTTCGTGATTTGTGCACTGCACCAGATTTTTAAAATGCTACATATAAACAGGCACACAGAGAATATGATCGCATATGACCACAAACGCAAATGCATATGATATAGCTTATAAAAATGGGATCGAATGAAAAAAATAAATTACAGAATTATACATCAAATATGAAAAATAAGATAGAACTATCAAACAAGCATAATATGATATATAAAATAAATATCTAAATTGTAACAATTTCTACATAAGAAAAAAAAAAATTAAAGATCATAATGAAAAAAAATATAGAAAATAATTAAAATTGTAGGAGGTAAAGATCTGCATCATAGCGGTCATAACAAAAAGATACAAATGGGGTATATTTAGATATTATCTGGATCAGTAGTAATAGGATAGAGGTAATGTGAACTTGCAGAACCCTTTTTGTGTACAAATTATAATATAAAAGAACAAAAAAAAAAAAAAAATGATGAAATTGTATCATAGATTATTAGACAGAATAAATACAATTTTGTACTTGTTAATATTATATTAAGTATTATTTTAAATTAGATATTTTAAAACAATGTAAATAAATGTAATGTATAGTAGAAAAAACATTTACAGTTTGATGATGAGAGCAAGACCCCAAAATGTCACAGTTGATTTTTATGTGATTTAATAAATTAAATCAAAATTAAATTGTATTAGTTAATAAATCAGAAATTAGGGAAGCCTATATTCACCAAAAAACCTCTTTACTAATCCTGACGACTTCTTAAAAAAAAAAAAATAGCAAGAACATTTTTTTTTAACAATTAGAAATTAAGTAGGAAAAAAGTACAGAAAACATGTCACTTTATTTTTTAGCAATCCTAAAACATTTGTGCATCCTAAACTTGACTTATATCGTTTTTATTTTTGTATACTTTGCTTCTTTCATCAAAAAAGAACATTTTTTTTAACAACTTCAGCTATTTGCAAAACTGTATTCAACAAGGTTAATGATGGCAGGTAAATGAGCAGAATCATGAAATGAAATCTAATTCTGTAGTAATTGTGTTTTTTAGAAATAGAAACAAACTTTTCTGATTGTAGGGCTTGCCGATATCCCCGGAGACGATACAAGGTCTTTGATTTATCCAAGGTCAGTCAATGTACTAAAATATGTTCAGTGGTTAAAACTATATTGCAGCTGCGAAATCTTGGTGGTGAATTCCCATCGAGGAGATGATCATGAGTAAGCCTCGTGTGCCTTATTCTGAGGCGTGATGCAACAGTTTTCTCCCTGCGATTTCCTTTAATCCGTGAGAGTGGACTAGTTTCATCATAGATTTTCTTCACTTTATTGGTACCTGGAACCTTAGTCCAAGAGTAACACCAAACTTCTTTACATAGGTTCCATATGGCTTTATTGTAGTCGTTCAGCACTGTGTTTATATCAGACACTGGAAATAAAGAGCATGCTTCTTTTGCAGCAGTATCAGCAAGTTGATTACCCGTTATACCTATATGACTAAAGGGTTTCTGCTGAATTGGAAATTTTGTATTACCTTGAGGTCTGAGTAAGAATCGCTCAGAATTAGAATGCCATTATAATTGAAAGTAGAATTAGAATTATTATTAATTTCATTATTCAAGATTATGATTAGGGATAAATAGATAGCAAATAGCTCAGAGGAGAATACGGAATAAGTAAAAGGGAGAGAGTAGCGTATAGTCTCGGCAGGCGGTACTATCGAACATCCCACATTTTTTGATCTATCAGTGTAAATGCAGATGAAATCTTCATAACAATGTAGGAGAGTCAAACAACATTGTTTCAGAGCTCCTGATGGATTGGCTGTGTTTCCTTTTTTAACGAGAAATCAAAACTAGCTTTATTGCTTGTCCAAGGTGGTAATGGGTTTGGGATTGTTTTAAATAACTTTGGTAGTGAGTAGGAATTCAAAATCGGTGGATAGTTAGAAAGGCGAGTGGGTAATTTGTACCGTGAGAAATCTAAAAAGTCCGTAGTCGTTTTTTTAAGCAGACTAAAGATTTTAACAGAAGATAGGGTCTGCGCAGTTCTAGCCGCTATTCATCAGCCTCCCAAAGCAGACTGTTAATAGAGCTAGTCCTGAAGGCTCCGGTTGCCCAACGAATCATTACAAGGTGAACTGGATCTAGTTTACTTTTATAGATCTAGTTTAGTTAACGTAAGTGCTTTATAAATTCAATATGAACCTGATCTGGACATGGTAATTTGGGAAGAGATGTTTGTATGCTTTGTTGTAGTTCATCCATTGTAAATGGTAAATTGTAGAGTTTATTATCAAAGGTAAGATCAGGAGGGCACTGAATTTGGTGGTGTGAAGTAGTACTTTTTGAAGTATTGGATAAGTACTGTCCAAAAGCATCGGCTATTTTCTTGGGCTCTGTAAGAAATCTGTCATTGTAGGTTATGGAACAAAGAATTTGGTTAATTGGTCTAACCTCGATAGCTCTTATTTTATTCCTAAGAATTTTCCCTTTTTTTTTTTTCTCACCTCTACCCTAAAGGGTCATCGGCGTTTTCTATGATTTATACTCTGTTATAGTAGTTTACAATTTTTAAAAATTTTAACACGATCGAGACTCTTTCTTCATTATCTTGGAGTATTTTGGGTTATATGGGGAGGTACGATGTGTCCCTGTGTCATGAAGTGTACATTCAGTACTACAATAAGAATTTTCATTTAAATGGCTGTTGAAATAGAAGAAACAAATTTTGTCCAAGAATTTCTTTTGGCCTGATTGATAGTCCACCATGGTAATTGATATGATTACTTAAGGAGGGTTGAGATTTTAACACCATTAAAGCTTTATGTTGCTTTGTTAGAGAGCACGACATTCGGGTGACCACCAAGGATCTGTTTTTAATATTTAGAAGATTCTGTTTTAGGAACGAAGAGGGTGGCAATTTGGGTAATAATTGAAGCAAAAGTTTCAAGATTTTCTCTGTGAGACATGGAAATTTCAAAATGTTTGAAGCGTTGGTACAGGCTTTTGTATATTTATCCCAATTAACCTTGTCTATCCTCCATTTCCTTGTAGAGTGTGGAAGGAAAGGATCGATTTGCAGCGAAAGCAAGAGAGGTAGATGATCACTGCCTGCGAGGTTGCAGTGCAAGTAAGATTGAGGGATAGTAGGAAATGAACGGGAGGCTAAGCGGAGGTCAATAGAAGTCCAGGTTTGGTGGGCTCGACTATAGAAAGACTGCTTACAGGGACTTGAGCGAAAATTCATCTATTATAGAATCAATTATTTTATCCCTTGCATCAGTTCGATGATTGAAACCCCATGTCGGACTATGAGCGTTTAAATCCCCGTTTAAAAGGAATGGGAGAGGAAGTTCTTTCAAGAGATCCTGAATATCGCTGTATGTAATATTTTCTGAAGGGCATATATAAACAGAACAAATTGTAAATTGAATTTGAATATGGATGATGGCGGCCATTGCTCCTAATTTTATATCAGAATGGTGGTTAGATTGATATCAGTATAACTGATGCCTTTCTTGATGGCTAGAGAGACTCCCCCGCTAACATGATTAGTACGACAGACAGTCTTATTAATACAGTTATATGAAGATTTTAGAATTCCTATAGGTTAGCTTTTGAATTGGGTCTCTTGAAGTGATAAAATTGAGGGATTATAATTAGAAATTAATAAGAGTAAATCTTTATAGTGACAGTATACACCATCACAGTTCCAGCTTAAGATTATCATATGTTTTAATGTGATAAAATGTAACCTATTAATGGAGTGTCTGGAGAGTTTATGTGTGGGTGTTATCACTAACATATGTGTTTCTAATATGATTTTGAAGACCTTTTATAATTTTTGTGAATCTGATTTTTATACTTTTTGTAGGGAGAGCTGAGTATAACTTGGAAAACATTGTAATGATGGAATCTAGATCACTGGGTATTTCTAGAGCTGCTGATACTGGGTCTTTAGTAATTGTGATGGTTTATAACAGGATATGTAATTGGTTGTAGGAAAGTGGGTAGTTTTTGTCCGGTGATTCAATAAGTTTCTTTACGCGTAGCAATGTATGGTTCAATGTTCTATTTTCCTTAAGTAGTTAAACTTTGTGTGAATTTTCAAATAAGTTGATTTTTAACAAATATTAAAACTGCACAATGGTAGTTATAAAGAGTAAGATGCTCTTATATCATTCAGATCATAAGTTTATGAGATCAGTTTATGAGAGAAAAAATAAAGGACTATTCAGAAATAAAACATACAAGAGTGAAAAAAAAATATATTTACAAAAAATAATTTATCAACATAAAAGTAAATAACAGAAACATCTTAATCCATACTTAATAAAGGTACGAAATATATACATATGTACATAATCATTATCATCATTATGTAAAATTTTAAAGTTTAAAAAAAAATTACATTGAAAAAACAAATATAATCTATAAAACAAAACTGATCAAGTTGATCAAATGAGTAGTGCTTAAAAATTATGATTAAAGATATATATATATTTATAGAAAAACAATATTGAATTTATTGTTCTATAGATAAAGAAAAATGAAAACAAAATTTACACATTATTTTCCACAACTTTATTAATTTTCAAAATATAAATAAAATAAATATTGATATTTAAAATACCAGTAAGATCTTGATCATATTAGAAGTAACTTGGTCTCATCTACACTTTAAAGTACAATTTTACAATAAGACCTTAAAGATAACAATATATACATACAAATTTTAAATATTGTAATATAAAGAATCTTGAGAAAACAGACATTACCCCACAAGGAAACAACTAAAAAATTACAAATGATTTAACCTTTAGTTCTAATATATCAAACTCGCTTCACTGTCTGATTAAATTTTTCCATGTCCAATATCTTATTTTTATTTACTTAATAAATACTCTGCCTCTTCTTTACATTAATTGTTCATAATTATTATCATTTTATTTATTTGATTGTTATTATAACTATGCCAATGAATTATTCTTTTCTGAAGAGTCAAAACCATCTTCTAGGATTTAAATCAAAGAAAGGCCATTTTCTCTAGTGCTCGGCCTCTGTAAAGAAAAAATATAAATATACTATATAAACTTCAGTCAATTCTGATTTCTAATTATGGTAACTGGCAGTATGATTTCAAAACATATTAATGGAAATATATCATAAAATTATCATATTCAAAAAAGAAATTGAAAAAAAACGACTACAACAGCCCATGAAGGGTCTTGAGTTCAGTACTATTTCCTGACCAATGTTTATACAAGGAGGTGATGTAGTCAGCATCCAGGCTCAACCACTAGTCCCTTCCCCAATCCAATGAAGGGCCAGGTAACCATTTTATAGGAGAGTCTCCCTACCCTATAACTGTTCCAAGGCAGATACAACATTAAAAAATTTTCCGATACACACTGCTTTAAACACTGAGCTATCTCACTCCATTATTACTGCAGTCAATCCACATTCACAAAAGGAAAAATTGATTTTCAACAAGGCATAGAAAAAGAGGGAAGTAATGAGTTTATTATACATATATATATATAAATATTTTTATCATTAAAAACATTTCATTGAAATTGGTGATCTCAAGTTCATAGATTAATTGTGGTATATATATCACAATTAATCTATGAACTTGAGATCACTGATTTCAATTAAATGTTTTTAATGATAGAAATATTTATTTGTGGAATCATGGTATTCTGATTATAAAGAAATAATAAATAAACTCATAACTTCCATAATTGCAAATGTGTAAAAATATAATAATTGTAAAATGTGTTGAATCGATGATATAAAGTGCCACTTCTGGTAAGCTGCTTTTAACGAAAAAGTTGCGGTAACATCCCAGGCTTTACAAATCTTAAATATCGTTTTTCAGCTTAAATATCGTTTGAATGTTAACCTACACACACACACACACACAAACATGCACATATTTGGAGTCAGAGGACCTCAAAACGTGTATTTCTGTAGAAAACTCGGTTCAAAAATAATCATGATCGCAATACTTTCCCTTGAAATATATTATATATTTAGGTGAGGGACAGTAAACATTGGATTTTCTACAGTTGAATTCTGTTTTTTTCCAGGTTGAAGAGCAGATACTCTATCCATGAAATTATTGGTTTTAAATACAAGATAAGTAAATGCTAAACAATTTTCTTTTCCTTTTTAACAACTTTGTTGACACTAAATCCTAATAAATTACTAATTGGTGATCAATGCTGATTCACAAGCTCACCCAATAGGGAATCATTGGTAAACTACTTCCATTGATAAAGTATTTTCTCTCTCAAATGCTAATTGGAATCTGATATTAAAACTACACCTCAACCTTTCAAAAACCCAAGACAGGGATTGCCCCAGGGAACAGTACTCAGCTACCTTATCTTTAATCTAATGATAAATAATGTGCTGAAAGCATTAAAAACTGTATCAGGTGCAGATGCTCTCCTTTATGCTGATACTTTCTCATATGGACAAGTAGTAGGTACATCACAGCCTTAGAAGAAACTCTTAACACATCATTAAAATGATTAGAGGATTGGACTGAGATGAATGGAATACACACATACACATACCCATATATTCATATTCCTAATAAATATATATATATATATATATATATATATATATATATATATATATATATATATATATATAAGTTAAGGTACGGAGAGGGACAGTATTAGCGTTAATACCAAATGCATTGATGTAAACAATCTCAGAATGTATTTATAGAGGAATAGAAGGAGAAATAAACCAGTCTTGATTTCGTCTTCATGCATGTTATTTCTTAAACCTAGTACTTTTTTTAAGTGTTTCAAGCCCGCTACGCTTAACTGGTGCCGAAACCCGGGACGGTGAAAGAAGTACGTTTTTTTTTCTCAGTCAGTAAAAACTGTTACGAGGATGCCCGAATTCGACCTGAGGCAGCCGGCTCCTATGAATGTGCCGGAGATCCCTCCGTTACCGCAGGGAACTTTAGCCGCGGCGCATGCAAACGCGATTGAATGGATGAAGATCAGGGTAGCTACTTCACAGGACCTGAGGAAGGCTATATCCGATCTCGAGCGCTTCACTGGAGAAACAGGTGAGCTAAACCACTTTCTAAAAGGGGGAGATCGAATCGTGACGAGGATCAGTGCAAAGATAGACGAGAATCTCGTCAATGTCGAAGACGCGGGGGCCCTTAAGGCAGCACTTGTGTGCAGGGTTAAAAGAATATCCTGAACCACATTCAGGCTGATGAAGAGACGCCGTGGGAGACGGTCAAGGAACGACTGAAGAAAGCCTATGGAGGCGGCAGATGGACGACCGAGGAAGACATCTTCCAGATGTTCCGTGAGATGAGGTCTTCACGGCAGTCAAATGGGCAGTATGCTGCGACACCCATAGCTCATTATAATCGTATTACGGAAAAGATGCGGGAAACAGCAGGCGCTCCGGAGGTAGAAGCAAAAATGGCCTTTTTGTCTACAATACTGAAGGTCCAACTGGCGAAGGAAACCGGGAAGAAGGACGGCTTACCCCGGGAAAGATCATTTACTGAGTGCGCTCAAGAGATGGTAGACTCCAGCGCCCGAGAGGAAGAAAGCCGGCTAGAGGTGGAGGAACCAGGCTGGAATCGGATAAGCTATAGCAGGCCTAGGAGTACACTGACGACCTGGAGAAGGAAAGAGTCCGCATACAGCGGGAGAGAGAAGCACATGGGAGCGGAGCGAAGACCAGGGCAAAATAGAGCGAGGGCTAGCCAACGGAAAGAAGACAGAAAATGTCACGGCTGTGGAAAGAGCGGACCCTTGGTTGCACAGTGTCCCCGCACGAAATGCTTCGAGTGCGGGACAGAGGGACACATTGCGAGGCAGTGTCCGTATATATATTCGAGAAGAGACTCGCAACGAGCAGAGCCGATGGAGGTGAATGCTCAAGGGTTGAGGAGAAGAAGGATGCAGTCCGGGAGACGAGAGTCATCAACAGAGGCTTCAGAAGAATACGCAACCACCGAGACTGAGGAAGAACCAGATGACCCAGTAAGCCGGGAAAACGAGAGGAGCAGAGAAGGGCGGAGAGGCAGCGGAAGAAGTGGACGACGGCCAGCAGTAGAGAGGATCTGAGGAGAGTGTCAGGCGAGAGGTGACCGCACGCCAGTAAATTATAGCATTCGAGGGAAAAGCTGCTGGTTACCAATAATAGAGGCGAGAGGAGTGAGGTGCCTGGTAGACACCGGGAGTTCCAATACCATTATGACGCGTGGAGTCTTGGAGAAGCTGTACGGGGGAGAGAGGACACTCCAAATCAAGGTATGTAGTTGTAAGTTAATCACCCTGGGTGGCCCGTGTGGAGTAGAAGGGGAAGTGGAGATAGGATTGAGGGGATGGGCGGGCAAGGGAGGTAAACTTACGGTGCATGTGGTGGGAGAAATGCCCCGGGAATACTAGTTAATTATAGGTTGTGACATGCTGGGGAAGGTGGGCGTGCGAATCTCGAATAGGAGAAAGGAGTGGAGAATAAGAATAGGGAATGTGAATTGTACGAGCAGGGCAGCAATAAAGTATGAGGACGGTAGGGCGCGCATAGGAGCTATAAGTCGAGCCGAGGATTGGAGAGTGACAGTGAGAAGGGAGTTTGAAGACGTTTTCTTTAAGGAGGGGGATAAAGTTGGGGTGACAGGTTAAACGGTGCACGAGATTCCTTTAAAGCACGAGAAGGTGAGCTACGTGAAAGAGAGGAGATATCCGCAGGCGCTTCGTCAACACATTAGGGAAGAGTTGTAATCGATTACCGCAAATTGACTGAAAATACGGTAGAAGAGAAATATCCAATCCCGAAGTTTGAAGACATTTTAGATAGACTAAGCGGGGCAACGGTGTTTAGCACTCTAGACTTGAAGGCGGTATACCATCAAATTAGAATGCTCCCAAAAGACCAGCCGGAGACGGCGTTTACATTCGAGAGAAGGCACTAAGAATTTACTAGGATGCCGTTTAGTCTCAAGAATGCCCCTATAACATTCCAGCGGTTGATGGACGAGTTTCTCAGAGGAATCGATGAAGGAGTCTGTCAAATTTACATGGATGATTTGTTGGTGTTTAGCAAAACCGAGGCAGAGCATGTGGAGCACCTACGGAGTGTGTTCGAGAGAGTGAGGCAATTTGGGTTGAAATTGTCCAACGAGAAGTCGATGCTCGGGCAAACCGCATCAATTTTGTAGGTCACACGATCTCGAGCGAGGGAGTCAAACCAGACGCGCAGAAGGTAGAGGCAATTCGGAAAATGGCGATACCTCGGGATGTTAAAGGGATCCGCAGGCTGTTGGGTACCCTCAACTATTATAGAAGATTTGTGCCCGAAATGGCGGAATACCTCGTGCCCCTTAACAAC